CTGAACATCTCCTGCAAGGTCTTGAACGCGCGGCCCGAGAACATCGAGAAAGAGTCCCAGATTGTCGCTCAAGCGGGGCGGCTGGGTGCGGTGACTGTGGCCACCAACATGGCGGGTCGGGGCACAGACATCCTCTTGGGCGGGAACCCGGCCCTGATGGCGAGGATCAAGCTTAAGCTCGAGCTGGCGCGCGGGGTGCTGGGGTCGCAAGCGGGGGCGGAGGCAATGGACGACTTTTTCCCCGTAGAACTGAGCCCCGCTGCAGACCAGTTGATCCAGGCAGCCGTAGCCCTGGCCAAGGAGATCGGAGCGGAGGGCATGAGCCTCTTTAAGATCGAGGAGATTGTTGCAGTGGCAGCGGAGAACTCGCCCGTGACGAACCCCGTTTTGTTGGCCCTTCGGGACGCCTACGACGAAGTAAAGCGTCAGTATCAAGACGTGCTGGCTGACGAGAAGGTTCAGGTCAAGAGACTGGGGGGGCTCTATGTGCTGGGCACCGAAAGGCACGAATCCCGTCGCATAGACAATCAGCTCCGAGGTCGGGCGGGCCGACAGGGGGACTCGGGGGCGACGAGGTTTTTCCTGTCCTTGGAGGACGACGTGTTTCGGATCTTTGGCGGCGACAAAATCCAAAGCGTCATGGACACCTTCCGGGTCGGCGATGACCTGCCCATCGAGAGCCCGACGGTTAGTGAGGCCCTGGACAAGGTGCAGCAGCAAGTGGAGTCTTACTACTTTGATATCCGTCAGAAGCTCCTGGCCTTCGACAATGTAATCAGCAAGCAGCGTCAGGAGTTGTACGAAATTCGCGCGGCCATCGTGGCCCATGACGCGGCGCAACTGCACACGATGATGCGGGACTTCGCCAGGCAGACAACGGAGGACATCGTGGACGCCAACTTCGAGACGGAGAAACGGAGCAAGATTGTGGAGAAGGTCCGTCAATTTTTCCCCACGTTGGGACCCGTGGATGAGAAAGAGATAATGAAGATGACGCGGCAGCAGACGTCGGCTTGCATGCATGAGGCGGTAGATAAAACATTGGAGAGAAAGAAAGCGGACTTGGCCACGCACAAGGCTGAACTTTACGCTGAAACGGTTCGATACTTGACGTTGCTTCAGATCGACAATTTGTGGGCACAGCAGCTGGAGGCTCTGGAGCAACTCAAGGAGATATCGGTCTTGCAGCGCTTTAAGGGCGCGGACCCTATGCTTGAATATGAGAAACGCACAAGCGCTTTTTTCCGGGATTTGATCGGCAATGTCCGTCGCAATACGGTGTATTCACTTTTTCAATACCAGCCGAAGGGGACGGCATCAGGTGGTGGCGAGACGGTGGCGAAGTAAAATTTACGAGACTTCTCTTGTGACCGGCTTTATTCGTTTAAGAGTATAAAAGGAAAAAAACATAAAACTCATTCAAACCACTTCCAATTGGAACAGTACGCATGCAAGAAAGCTTTTAAATTGTAGTTGATTTATGAGCAATCCATAATGAAGAGCATTCGCCATTATGGGCATACCGTAGGGCAAGGCCGGGCGGCGTCATATCAGTAGCCCGGCATTTTGAGGTCGGCCCCCGTCGCACTGCTAGAAGTTGGCACGGATACTAGACCATAAAGCCCGACTTCGCTTTTTAATTGGAAATACCACGCAGGTGGACGGAACGCACGGCTTTCATTAAGCACGTCCGCGTGGTCTAGGGGAATCTCTCGTGTTGTGTGCCCCCTAAGCGGAGGTAATGTGGCAATGGGGAGATCGACAGTTTCCCAGTCCGTCCGCTGGAACGCGTACGTTCCATAATGCCCGCCTCCCTTTCAGGACGGCAAATTGTTGTGAAGACCCGCAAAGGCATTGATGCTGGTGTATGACGTGATACTCTGTCGTGCTTTCTCGACTCCACACGCCTAGTGGACTCCACTTTCTACGGCATTGCCACAATATTATTATCTCATCGTATCAGCATCCGTTGAAATATATGCAGCCTTACTTCGACCGAACTCCACAAATAACAAAACATCAACAGGCATAATGGCATGCTTAACTTACACAGGACAAAGAAAGAGGCTTTTGACTAGAAAATTAAGATAGTAATCCGACTGGACATGGAGGAGAAGGTCGAAGATTCGTCCACCGGGGATAAGGATAAGGGCAGCGTTGCAGATCTGGAGTTCGGCAGCAACTCTGTAGATAGCATGGGCAGCGACTGTAGTAATTGTGTGAGCACACCTCGAAGGCAGCCGATGCATTCAACCATGGGAAAGAATTGCGAAAACTCAAGTCGGGGGCGTGGCGATGGAAACGCCTTTAAAAATGAGAGCGAGCTCCCCTCACTGTTGACGGCCGCAGGTCGTGGCTTGAGTAACAACCAGACCGGTGGTAATAGAGGGAATAGGAAATGCTATGGGAATGAGACAGTGAACAGTAACGGGTCCGTTCACGCCGGCGCCAGCAGTAACAGCAATGGAAAAGCTGAGTGTACAGACAACGGCAGCAAGGACAGTGGGGATGGGACGCTCTCTGTGCATCCCAAGCCTAAGTTGCAGGGCATATTGAAAAAAGAGGGGCTAACCGGCGGGAATCTTGGAAGGTCAGGTATGGGAAGGCGAAGCTCATCGTTCTATGCGCCGAAAGGCTTGAGTCGAAGCAGCAACTCCCTTAGCACGCGCTTCCATTTGGTCCCTCCTTCAAAGACGGTCCGCTTTCGACTCGAGAGCGATAACGAGAAGCGGCCATGGTTTGCTCTATTGGAAATCATGGACCCGGGCTCGCTTTTCATGGTGCGCTGGAAGAGCCTGTGCATCGTCTTCTTGTCGATCTCCTTCTTTCGATTGCCAGTCATTATGGCGTTTGGGGCCCATGGCCTCCTCATCGACTTTATATGTGACGTCTATTTTTTTATAGACAACGTTTTCGCCCTGCACACGGCCTATTTGAAAAAGGGAGAGCTCATAACCGACCGGCGGCGCATTGCACGGCGATACTTTAGCTGGAAGACCTTCATGAGGGGAGAGCGTTGGTCGTACCTCGTCTTTCTCATGGAATTCGTCCCCTTCTATTCGGCCATCATCATTATGGCCTTCTACACCCTGCCGGACTGGTTTCTTACCCTGTGTGCCGCATCGCGAGCCCGCCGAATGTACGATCTCCTTTCCTACTTCCATGCGCTCGAGTTGCGGCTTGACAGCGACCTGCGCGTGCTGGCCGTCACCAAGTACGGACTTGTCCTCTTTGGGAGCGCGCACTGGTTCGGCTGCGTCTGGTGGGCCGTGGCCCGATTTTCGGGATTTACGGAGAGCTGCTGGGTGTCGCAATTTCTGCGACTGACAGCGAGGCCCGTCTCGGATGAGAGCTTTCGGAGCACGTCCTTCAATTATTTCCTCTCCTTGTATTGGGGCTTTACCGTCCTCACAGGCACTATGGTGCCAGGATATGCGCCAGACAGCAGCCAAGAGACGATTCTGTCGATCGTGTCGATCTTCAGCCAAGTCCTCATTTTCTCCTTCCTGTTCGGTATCCTGCTCCACTACATTGTCAAAAAGGACGCCAATCAGGAGAAGTACAAATCCTTGATAGACAAGGTGGAGCGCTATGCCAAGATGCACGAGCTTCCACGGCGTTTAGAATCCTCCATAAAGCTTTGCTTCACATTTCAGCACCAAAATCGCATTGGCCAAGACGAGGAGATCCTCTCTGCTATTCCCATGACCATGAAAACCAAGATCCTTGCCTACCGCTACCAAATGGTGGCCGCCAACGAGATCTTTGAAGGCTGCCAGGAGCATTTTGTCACTTCTGTTTTGGCCGTCCTTCGCCCCAAGATCCTCATTCCTGGCGTGACAATATTCAACAGGGACGACATGACCCGGGAGGCCGTGTTTTTGGAGGAGGGTGAGGTGGAGGTGCACGCCGAGGACGACGCGGGCGCTTTTCGAATGATCAAACCCTCTGAGGATGTCTTCCCTGTCGTGGGCGCCATTGCATTTTTTCTCGGTATTCCACAACCCTACACGCATAAAGCTAGCATGAAGTCGCACGTTAAGCTCCTGACCTTGTCCAAAGACGACTACGAGGATATCAGAGACCGCTACCCCGAGTCACGAGACCAGCTCATCGGCAATATCACGGCGGCCGTTGGATTGACGCGGGACGGCGACATGGATGACATTAGCGGGGCGGTGGTTCTGGAAATGGAGAGCCCTATGGGCATGCCAACGGATGTGGGCGGAGATAGCAATGCTGCTCCACTGCAAGAGCAGCGGCAACGACGGCAGCAGCAGCAGCAGGATCAGTCACAGTCTCAGGGAGTAACCGCTGCAGATTTAGGCGTGCGAACGGGGGAAACCGAAAAGGTCGCACTTCGACGTAAGGTGGCGTTAGGGCTGCGGAAGAAAATGGATGACGAGCTCGCCACCATGTTCAACGCCGTCGAGGAGGGCGACCTGGAATCCGTCAAGCTGCTGCTTGACAAGGGCTTTAAGGTAAATACGACCGACTACGACCTACGTTCGAGCTTGCATTTTGCTGCCACGAGGGGCGAAGACAAAATCGTAGAACTGCTCACCCAACGGGGGGCTGACGTGCACTCGCGAGATCGGTGGGGCCGGAATGCGCTTCAGGATGCTATCGACAATGGATACACAGTCGTGGCAAGCATGCTGGCGGCCCAGGGCGCTGAACTGAGACTGCGAAATTCAGCAGGTCGGCTGTGTGCGGCGGCGTTTACTGATAATTTGTTCGAGCTCCAGCGTTTGATCGAGAATGGCGTTGATTGCAACGTCGTTGACTACGATGGACGCACAGCACTGCACCTAGGGGCTTGCGAGGGCAATAACAAGGTTGTGGAATATCTACTGCTGCCCATAAATAAATGCAATCCAGGTGTTTTGGATAGATGGGGAATTTCTCCACTTTTTGACGCCATCAAGCACGGAAATTTGTCCGTAGCACGCGTTCTCTACGAGAATGGCGCCCGCCTGTCCAAGGGCAAGGCGGCAACATTTTTGTGTACGGCCGCAGCCAACGGGGACTCTTCATTGCTGCAAATGCTGTTTGAGTGCGGCGTAGAAACGAATATCGGTGATTATGATTATAGATATCCAATCCACTTGGCAGCAGCCGAGGGTGAGGTTATATCTGTTGAGTTTCTTGCATATGCACACGCTGAACTTAGCGTCAAAGATCGGTGGGGTCGCACTCCATTGGATGACGCCATAACCGAAGGGCATCTTTGCTGTGCGAAGATGCTGATGAGCTTTGGTGCTGAGTATACAATTTCCATTGATGCGGCGACTCAAGCGCGTATTGACGCCGTGGACCTAAAGGAAGTGCGGGCGATGGTCAGGGCAGAGCGGACAGTGCAAAATCAGCATAAAAGCGTCGCGAAACAGTTGAGAGAGATGGTCAAGTGGATGGCCGCAGAAACCGAAACTTGGCAGAAGAGTGTTGAGGAGCGTCTCAAACATTTGAAGCGGACAACAGATCGCATGATTTCGGGGGACGAAATCGACGACTTTCACCTGGACACGCAGGATTTCCTCGCGCAATCTGACTTATCCATTCTAGTATCAGAGCGCCCAGAACGTGTCACAATTGAGTCAAACATGAGCTATCCGGATTCATACATGCTGAGCCGCTTCATAAGCGAGGCGTCATCAAGTTCTGACAGTGCAAGGGAATTTACTAGCACGAGTAATGCTGCAAAGAGGGCTATATCTAGTGAAGCGACAAGCAGCGATCGGAAACAAAACCATGGCCTAAAGTCAATGCAGCATTTTTTTCTGAAGTGGAGCCTTATTCACTCTGCGATCAAAAACTGGAAGGAACATCTGATTGTAACGGCTCGGCGCGACATGCACGAACCGCCTGGTATAAATAAGACTGCCCTAGGTACTGCCCTCCGCTCATTAGGAGTTTCTGTCACCGATCACGATCTCGATCGAGCATTCGAAGCGTGCAAAAGTGGTACAGAGGAGGTCGATACTGCTCAAAGGGTGAGCGGTCTTGGAGAGATTGAGGAAATGACATTTTTGGAAGGAAATGCTATGATATCTGCAGACAAGGCGGCAAACGCTCCTGAATCGGTGTCGTGCGAAGACGTAGTAATGGCCATGCCTGTCTGGTCGTTCATCATGCATGCCCCAGCCGCGGGTGGTAGCGATTTATCTCGGCTTCAGGAAGCAGTGCACGTGATTTGCGAAGGCTATCGTTTGCTGACTCGGCATGGAAACGGTAAGCTAGGCCGTGCTGCTTGGATGATTCAAAAGAGAGAAACTGACTTGGGCGAGTTTAGCTCGGTTATCGATCAAGTATTTCTTGATCAGGATGTCATCGACAAGGAATCGTTTTTCTTGACCGTTGCACGTTGGGCTGCGCTTCGTGACGAGGATAATGGCGTCTCAGATGACTACGGGTCAGGTGCATATGAAAAAAGTACAGTTTTAGGCTTGAGCCCCGATGATGACGCCTCATTTCAAAGCCAGGGAGGAAATTTGGACAAGATGCCTTCCGGCGTTGCGAAGTCGGGTACTCTACGGGAGAGCCGCATGCCGTGTGACCTGGGGCATAGCTTGAGCAACTCAAGTTGGCCTGAACTGGCGGCAAACCGTCTGTACTTAGATAGGATTGAGAGCGATTCCAGCCTTCAAGGGCAGATGGGCTCCCTTTCTGCCAATCAACTCCCACATTTATACGTTAAAAAACGCAATTTGTGGACTCGTCTGTGCACTGCCTGGAAGTTATTTTGTATAAAGCGGAAGTTACGTGCTTCTTTAAAAGCCGGCGAGGGTCAGTCCAGGACACAGCTGGCAATGCCAGACTTTGCCCGACATTTCGCCCGACTAGATCTAGAGCGGTGCGACTGGCTTGATCGTAACCGTACCGAGCTTCTGCTTGCTCGAGGCTTCGATGCCGACCTGAGTCGAGGAGAGTGGGGCTTACTTGCCGAGTCCTTGAAAGACAATGTAGTAGGCAAGGTCAGTCTAGCAGCTGTGGAGCGTTTTTGGATGGAGTTAAATGGTGTCTCAGCCAAATTGCAAGTGGCGTCAGCGCTGGACGCCTCACAACGGGGCATCAATTCCTTAAATCCGTCTCAACGCGTCCTCAAGGATAATGCTGCCTTTGATGCCGAGGGCAGTAAGCGCATTCCTGGCGCGATGATTTTGGTAGAGCGCCGATCCTGGAGCGAAGCCCTTTTGTTCGACAGGAAGGGGTGGTTCATCTCGATGTGGGTCGTGGTTATGATAGTGAATGCGCTGTATTATTTTCTGAGCGTACCTTTCATTATCGCCTTCCTGCGAGACGAGATTCTTGGTGAATATGAAAGCTGTCTTTGGGTTGCATATGCTTTTGATTGCCTCCTACTCTGTGACGTCCTGGTCAAGCTCAATACAAGTTTTATAGATACTTCATGCAGTGTTTTAGTCGTCAATCGGCGCCGAATTCGTCATCGCTACTTGACGGGAGGTTTCCTCAGAGATCTTGTCGGGATGCTACCTGTCGATATCCTTGTGCGATTTTTGGGTGGCTCAGGCACGCTTGTGGCGTTCCTGCGTCTGCCTAAACTCATTTTTTGCTACCGCCTCGTCAATTTTTTCAGACGCCGCTCCCTCAATTCTTCATCTCGCTTGGCTGTAGATCTTCAAGCCCTGCTTTTCTCAGCGCTCGGCATGATTCACATTCTAACATGTGTTTGGTTCTTTATGACCGAGGGTGATCCGGGCAATTATCAGGCCTTGAGCGGTTATGAAGATTACGGAAATTACACAAATGATCCTTCCGGTGGTGGACCATTCCGGCTCGAATATTACATTTTTTGCTACATGTTGATCACTACGATCATCTCCACTCAAGGCATTTACGACGTTGTGATGGGGCAGGTGCGCGAAATATGGTTCACCATGTTTATACTTCTGCTGAATCTCTCCGCCTGGGCCTATCTAATGGGGACCATTTCCGGCCTGTGCGTGACGGCTGACGAGTCGATCGCACAGTCTCACGAGCTGATGACTGCTGTTTCCCGCTTTATTCAGCACAATCCTATGCCTCCCGGTGTGTCGGAGGAGTTGAAGGGTTATTTTAACATAAATGCCCAGCAAAAAACGCAGTTGTCGCTGACAGAGCAGACACAAATATATCATAGCCTACCACTGTCTCTACAAGTTGAGGCTGCACGGCATATTTCCCGAGACTCTTTATTGTGTGTCGAAATTTTCACGAAGACCAGTGAGTATTTCCTGGACTCTGTTTCTACGCTTTTAGACATGGAACTCTTTGGGGTAGGCGACTATGTGTACAAGGCGGACGACATCTGCCGCTCGCTGTACATCGTTGCTTCAGGTAGCGTGGAAGTAGGAAAGATGAATTCAGAGACTAACGAGTTCGAAGTCGACGAGATCGCTGGGGTCGGCTATGCGCTTGGACAGCTAGAGTTTCTCTTCGATGTGCGATACATGACCTCAGCAAGAGTGTCGGGCGCGGACGATGTGCGGGTTTTTAGGTTGGGTAAGGAGGACTTCACACGTGTCATCAAATTGTATCCCATGGATGAGGACATTTTGTACGAAAATCTCTCACGCTTGGCGGACGATAAGATGGAAACCAGTTCGAGGGCACCAAGCACAGCCCAGAGCATGTCCACGCACTCGCTAGACTTCACAGTCGTAGGCGGTGATGACCTCATGGAAAAGGCTATGGATAGCATTGACAAAGCTAAAAAGCGGAGCAAGGAGCAGCGTATCCGCTCTTTTTGCAATGCGGCCGCCGAAGGGAACATGGACATCCTGCAGCGCCTCCTCCGGAGTGGTATCGATATAAATGGACGAGATTGTAACGAGCGTACTGCACTAATGCTGGCGACCTGTGCAGACAATTTCGAGCTTGTCAAATGGTTAGTCTCTTTGGGAGCAGAAGTGAATTTGCGAGACAAGTTTGGGGGCTCCGCTTTACTGGATGCCATGCGTCATAGTACACCCTTGCATATGGAGATTATGGGCTTTTTAAGCAAACAAGGCGCCGTCTTAGAACTGGACGATGCAGCGGGAGAGCTTTGTCAGGCAGCAGCAGACGGAGAGAAAGAAAAACTGGCTCGGATGCTTGAATTGAATACATCACCAGATGTAGCTGATTACGATAAACGTACTCCCCTACATCTGGCTGCTTCAGAAGGTCGCCTAGATTGTGTGAAACTCCTGCTGGAGTATTGGGCAGACGTAAACCCTATTGACCGAATGGGTGGGACTCCCTTGTCGGATGCGGTACGGCATGGGCACCTTCACATTCAGACACTTCTACGCCAGCATGGTGGTAAGCTCAATATGGACCCGTTCGAGCTTGGGACGTGCGCGTGTGAGGCAGGGTCCTCGGGCGACCTGGACAGCATCCGTGTGCTGGTTGAGAATGGTGCCGACATCAACACAGGAGACTACGACGGTCGCACGGCGTTGCACATGGCTACTTGTTATAATCGGTTGAGCGTCATCGAATATTTGGTCTCGTTGCCGTCGATCAACCTCAATCCACTGGATCGTCTCGTAAATACGCCTCTTGACGACGCGGAAAGGGAGGGCCAAGGTGCTATTGTTAAAATTCTTCAAGCCCGTGGGGGCGTTCCAGGCACTCATCCATCGTTGAAAGACCAAGTTGCTCAACAAAGACAGAAAAAAGCTGAAGCTGAGGCCGTCAAAAAAATGCGTCGTGAGGCGGACGCACGCTTATTTGAGGAGTGGAGCCTCGTGCAAGAGGACCTGTCGCGAGTCTACAGCTTTATGAGTGAGTACTTGCCATCACTCTGTAAAAACATCAACATTTTAAGCATGACCCTGCGGAGTCGACGAACACAAAGTACGATTGATCGTTCCCCCCGGCCGATCTTGCGGAAACCCGGCTCTATTTTTACAAGTCTTTCCTAGCCTTCTTAGAGCGGCGTTACAAAGTCAATCTGGAGATGTCCTTGACGCTCATCGAAGAACTAGAGGAAGTAACTTCTTTTGAAGACAAGGCGCGAATCGCAGGGTACATCGTGGAACGCTTTCTTGACGCGAAATCTTCAGATCGTGTGCACTTTCATCCCACACAGGTCGGGCTGGTGAAGGAGCGCCTACTCGCTGCATTTCCGGAGAAAGTCTTTCCTGTCGATTTACTCGAGCCTTTTCGAGCAAGTGTTGTTGAAAAGATGGAGGAATTACTGCCAGACTATTTTAAATCAGATTTTTATTACCGTGCTTGTCGGCAGCCTAATGGCTTCCTGTGGAGAGTGATGAAACTCTCTCGTTTGCTACATGGGCTGTGTAATCAGATACTTGTCGATGTCATTAATCCTTTTCTAAAGCTATGCAATCGAGATGCACTTGCATGCGTGCCACACTATTCAAAAAGCAATAGGCAGGCTTTTCGAGAGGAATTTGTAAAGCTAAAAAATAACATTACGTCGCTGCAACCAGTCTTGCACATTGTCGGGTACAAGTCCAAGCATGACGCAATGCAAGAATGTATCAAGGAGCGCCGAGAGAAGCGCACAGGAAATGGAGGTACCGGACATAGGAAGTAGAATGCGAAGTTTGACTCAGGAAGCGGAGTAAAAATTGTGAGCTCCAGCTGCCGTGAAGCTGTCCAGGTTGTTCCAGGACAAGGGAAACTTTAAAGATGAATGATCTGGGTGCACGACCTCTGGGTGCACGACCTTCCGTGAACTCACGGCTCATTGAAGACGGGGGTAAAAAATGATCGGACCTGAAACAGGCAGTGTAAAGCTATGCCATTGCGATAGATGGGAAAAGGAAAGAGCGCAGTAACTCTGTTCCGAGAATGTTGTGCAGCAAATTTCCATCGCCTCGAGACGATCTTGAGAAATTCATAACGTGCGATGGTCGTCGAGATCAGAAAGTGGCTTCATTTTATTCGTGATTCTACAATGTTATCCAGGTGGTTCCATTCATGTGACATAAGATTCTCTAAGAATAAGCTAGATTCATATGAAAGAAACATGTCGCACACGGCAGCTGAGTTCTTCCCTTTGTATTGCATTGAGAACAAGAAATATTCTTCAAGGTTCGCCTAAGCAGCCTTGCCAGTTTCGCTGATGTTCAGCCGTCTATATCTCCAGTTCAGGCCCTCCTCATATTGGCGTTCTCTCGTATTAAATCTCATCGTCGGGACCCACACGTCAAACCCGCCTCACTATGGAGGAGTCTTATTTTTCTTACATCTGTCGCATCACAAAGACCAAGGGCTTATCGAAAAGCCTCCTATCATATGAATTTGTGTCACCGATTACCGCCTTCTGCCGTAAAAAGTGCTCAAACCTTGGTTACCATCACCTGATATCACCTTTAGCCCATCATATTCCATTATGCTCTTTTCTTTTCAACCTTATCACCCCCTCTACATCTTGTACTTTTTCGTCTGCTGCGTGAGCGTGCGCTTCTAGCTTTGGTTCGAGGCTGTCACATCGAAAGGCTGCGTACAGAAGCTGACCGCAAATTGTGTGGCCTTGATGGAGTATGTCTGTGGAGCTAGGTCAGCAGGCACCTCAAAGGGAACCGTAAGAGAACCCTTGCCCTTAGGGACGATTTGGCCGATTGGGATGTCATCACTTGAGCCCAAACCGCATTTCTTTGTCAGCGTCAGGCCTACGGGCGCCGTCGATGAGAATCCAGAAATCATCACTTTGCCCGTCTCTCCCTGACTAAACGTCGGGAGGGCCAGACGCTCGCCGGTTTCCGTCGACACTAGGACAGTGGGCACCATATTGCCCGAGAGCGCTCCGACGACAGAGCTCATCACCGTCGATGAAGCCTGGGGCAGGGCCATTCCTCTCACCTTGTGGGTAGTCACGAAGTCAGCGTTGCTCTCGTCTATCAATACGTCGACAGGCAGCATCTCACCAAGGACCGACGCGAAGTCCGCGGCCTTGAATTGCTTGACCCAATCCGAGGCGAGAGCGGCGCACTCGTCGTCGTGTGTCGTGAAAGAGAGGTCGTAGACCTCTGTGAGCTCTGAGTCCTTGAAAAAAGCCTCTGCATTGGACAAAGCGAACTCCTGCAGCTCGGGATGTCTGATACTATTCTTCTTCTGCACGTTCACTCGCGCACAGTCGTCGCCGAGGGCCTTGGAAATGGCCGATTGCAGGTCAGACGGCTGTGCGCATTGTTCCGGTACTGATTCCGCGCTGCTAGAGCATCCAAGCTTCAGAATCGCTGTTGTCACTTGAGTATCGATTAGAGGCATGTCCGCGCTGCTTTCATCGTACAGATTGCTTGCCTGTTTGATCCACTTGGGGAGCGCCTGGGCGGTTCCATCCGTGCCCAGCACCCGAACATCTTCGAGGGAGCAGGCAGACAGCTCTTCTTCGCTGAGCTCGCAGGCCCCCGCGTTCTCGCCGACGATCTGTTTGTTCATATTGCCCTTGAAGCCGCAGGGGTTGCAGGCAATGGGGCCGTTGACCGCCGCGTAGTGTGTCTGAGGTGTGTTCGTTCCCACAGAGCCTAGGGGCGAGTCCTTCACCGCCTGGACGAAGGCATTCGGGGTGCCTGCCGAGAAGGTGTTCTCGCCTTCTAAGACCGTGAAACTCGAGGCAGGAATGGCGGATGCTTGCGACTCCGCCGAGGCGATCTCGAAATCCTCCAACTCCGCTGCCAGCGGCTGCACCAGATAGTTCTCCTGCACTTCCTCGTCCATGTCCTCCTCCACGTCGTCGTCCTCGACGGCGTTCTCATCGGACTCTTGATCCTGCCGTCGGCCTTTTCTGATATTGTCTGGGAAAGCATGAAAGGCGCATGGGAGTGAGAACTAATTTATTTCTGGCAATATTGACAATGACATACAGAAAGAGTCATCTCATACTTACAAGAATAGAAATCGTCGTCGTCCATTACGTGGTTTTCAACAGGAATGACGTCGTCATAATCTTTGCCATTTTTAAGATCAATGACATCTTCACCCTCATCCTCTTCGAAAGTTCCGTCCTCATCGTCTTCTTTCTCTGCCTCATCCTCGTCCTCGAGGTCGTCCTCGTCATCGACATCATCCGCCGTGCCTTCATCCTCCCCCAAGTCTTCTGTGAACTCCTCATCCCCGGCATTGATGTCAGCATCGTCAAAATCAAGGTCATCTTCCTCAAAATCATCGTCGTCGTACTCTTCGTCTTCGAAATCATCCTCGGGAACGCCTTCCACATCATCGTCCTCGACGTCATCGTCCGCCGCACCGTGCTCGACCTCCACATCATCGTCCTCGACGTCATCGTCCGCCGCACCGTGCTCGA